ATGTTCATGAAAGGTATGAAGCCTTCGGCATAGCCGAAGACAGCGCTGCTCTTACTTGTTATTAATTTGAATTGGCATCCTTACAATAAAGTTATGTATGCATATAAAGTCTATAAAATACACCAATAAAAATTTGGTGCTTTTTCAAATTCAAAACTTGGCAATATTGCCTTTTGTTCGATGCTTCCTCTTTTTCTTGTCGAGTTCGTCTTGCTCTCTCATTCTGGTATTTATTGACGTCACGGCCAGTTGCTCTCAGCTCGATTGGCGCAATCTTGTATTCTATCATTCTTGGAGAAACAGCTGTTCTTTGTTTACTTTTTAATTGTTCTTTTTGACCCACACTGCAACAGACGGAATTTCTTTTAAATAAAATACACCGCAGCAATAGATTACGAAACGCCGAAAAAAGTGAGTAATTTTATAATAGGAAAATTTATTACATTTTATTATGAATTCGTAAAGTACCAGGCGTAAAAATATGACTGCACCACACAAGAGCAGGTACAATTTTGTGAATACCACCCCGAACTATAAACGTGTAAAAACTATAAAAAAAAAAACTGTTGTCTAGGAGTTCCCTCAGAAGTCTTCTTTGTATAATATCTTCTTGCTCCACAATAATAGCCGCGTACATAATACTGATTTCCTCCATGAATAATATTCTGCAATGGATACTATTATGATATGCATACGCAAATAATAACTTTTTAACAGACCTGTTGAAGCAAATAAAATGGTTTCACAGTTTTCATTTAGTAACATTTTGCAACTTTTTTCTGCAAAATTAATTAAATTGAAAATATTAACATATGTTTTAGCGTTGTCACGTACTCAATAGCTCATCACAAAAATAATAGCAATTGTCACCGTTGGAGCTTTCAAATTGCCCCCTGCATACCTAAACGTGACAATTGATTATAAACATGACAATAGTTATAGCAGCGAGTTTTGTCATTGCACGCGAATAGGGCTGTAAGGTTTGAACTTTCGACTACAATCGCTTAAAAAACCGTCCCTGAACCTTAACCCTTATACGATGTTTCCACACTTCGTAATTCGCTCTCTAAGTCATTCGCTAAGTAATTCGTGAATTACCCTGTTTCCAAGTCACAAATTAGTAGTGGTATTCATCTAAACCGATAACTTTATCAAGCAGATAATCTTATAAGTTTACGCACTCTGTTACATGAACGACCCACGCTCTCTTTTCGTTTACAATTGCGACAATAGTTGTGTTTTCTTTGGTTATAGAGCTCAGTATCACTAACTTTATACTACTAGCACGGGTATAAAGAAATTATAGAAACTACCTCACTAAATTGGAAACAATTATATTTACGAGATAATATCTATTTAAATAAATATACATATAAAATAAAGGCGATTAATTTGAACCAAGTTAGAAGAAACAATGGCAGAATGTCTGTTTGTGTATGAATTCATTTGTCACGGCTACCAAAACTTTGCGGCCAAATTATCAGTGAAACAAAACAAACAGACGGGATAATAGTTGAACCAGATCTCTATCAGGATCATATCGTTGTTGTTGAATTTGCGTGCAAAATTTGTATGCGGATCCCGATTATTGTCGAAGAAAACATAGCGAAAGTTGCGAAAGAGTTGCATTGGCTTCAGTTTATTAAGTTTATTCAGTGAAATCGCTGGATAAATTTATCAGAAATGTGTAAACGAGTTTCCATACAAATTTTGATAGTTCATTTATAAGGTTTACACAATTATAAGTTTATACGGTTTACAATGCATTTATAAGGTTTGATGAATACCCTTAGTAATTCGTTTGGCAGCTCTAGTTCTTGTTCTTGTTCTTCGCTATTTATTTTAATTTTCGTGTACTGCAAATATCGAAGATGGAGCTAAAATTTAAGTTATCATCAACAATTTTAATTTATATAGAGAATATTTTATTAATATTATTCTACAACTAGAAAAAGTGCTAGCATATGGGAGCAGGCGGGTGAAAACTTCGATATATTTCCGATAAATATTAGTAAAGGCACCGATTCCTTCGTCATTCGCATGGTAATTCGATCTGAATTACCTTCAAATGAGTTAATTCGCTCTCAAAATTTTGTATGGCGAATTACGTAATTCGGAAGGTAATTTGCAAGGCGAATGTCGAATGGGAGAGCGAATTACGAAGCGTGGAAATGCCGTATAAGGTCACTTATAGTTATTTATTTAACAGCAAAAACTGATTTTGGTAAAACTTATTTATTTTTTTCAATAGCACAGTGTTTATTCCAGTATTTTTATATTGTTCAATAAATAACTTTTAGTGACCATCAGTTCAAGGTGCAGGGATAGTAGCCGAGACTTATAGTTTTAATTTAAGCCCCAGTTAAAGGTTCTATCACCTTTTGTTTTTTGTGCTAGACCTTCTAAAATATTGCAAAAAAAACGCGATTTTTTGACATTTTGACCTTGTTTTTCTCAAAATCTGGAGCTGATGGAAACTTTACGCTTATCATCATAAAAAAGACTATCAAAAACAGCTTTATCATTTGCCTCAACAAAATCACTGTTGCTTTGTTTAATTATTGCTTATTATAAATTTTCAAATATGATATATTTTGTTTAAATTTCGTAATATAATTTTTTGATTTGTTTACAGCCAAGAAACATACAAACGTCAAACACCGATAATAGAAATGCGTTACTTCAGGCATAGCCTTATGGTTTGAAGCAGTGATTAGCATGCGGTGCCTTTTTCGAGACTTCAAGTATACTCGCAAACAATGCGGTGAAGGACATACTTTCATACCGCATAGCAATGCGATATTTGCGTGCATCGCATTTTTTGTCGCGTTCGTGTTTGCGGTGACTGTCATACAAGTCGTTACTGGATAGTATGGCACCGCATTTTCATGTCGACTTCGGCTATGCGGTGGTATGCGCGGTCGTTTAAACATCGCAAACATCGCATTATTTCCGGATATGCTTGGCTGAATGCGGTACACCGCATTAAACAGTGTTTGCATTATTCAACTTTGCGTTCAACAATTGCGTTCAACTCAACGCAGGGTTGCACGAAAAAAAAGTTGAATGGCTAAATGTTGGCTGGCGACCAACTTTGTTGAAAGCGATTAGTTGAAAGGCCATTCAACCAAAAGTTGAATGCAAAGTTGAACAATGCAAACACCTTTTTATGGCGAATATTTTGATATTTTTTTATATTTTGATATTTTTAGCCATTCAACTTTTTTTTTCGTGCAACCCTGCGCTGAGTTGAACGCAAATGTTGAACGCAAAGTTGAACAATGCAAACACACTTTTATACGAGCATATGTAGGTATCTGTGCAGCGCATTTTATCGCTACAGTTGCTTACAGAGTTTGTATGTATGCATGTTACAAAAAAATTAATAAATATGAACATTTAGTCAAATTTAAATACACAGAATGTGTAATATGTATTTTCTTTTAATTCAATTCATTTTTATTTCACTTAGACTCGTATAATGCGGTGCACCGCATTCAAAGAAGCATATCCGCAAGTAATGCGATGTTTACGTTGTTTAAACGACCGCTCATACCACCGCATAACCGAAGGCGATATGAAAATTCGGTGCCACACTATGCAGTAACGACGCTTTGATCGAGCTCAAAACACTCAAACACGACATCATTTGAGCTTGCGGTGGCGGTAGATTTCGTTACTAAGTATTATTGAGTTTGAGTGGTACAGTAAATAAATGTCGTTGCGGTGTATTCGAAAATGCGATACACCGCAACTGATCTCTGGTTTGAAGCAACGTTTAAATATAAAGGCAGCTTTTCAATTTAAGGTTGCTTGAGAAAACGGCCATTAAAGGAGGAATCACAATGAAAGTATCACTTATAATAAAAAATTTACAAACTTAAAAAACTGACGCGCAGCTACATGGAGGCATTATAAATAAAATCGGCTGTGCTAGAGGTTTTAAACTATCCATAGTCAACTAGTACTATCGATAGTTTAACCTTTTTTTGAGAAAAACTATCACTACTCACCGATAGGGGCAAAAAATAAAACTATCGATACTATCGATAGTACCATCGATAGTTTGACACCTCTATTTGTCAAAGTGTAAAATAAGTGAAAACAAGGGAAGTTGTTTGCACCAACTCATAAATTTTCTGGATATTTTCCATAAATATAATTTAAATTGATACAATATCAACGCTAAGAATGTTCTTTCCATCGATCACAACAATTTTGGGCGTAGCATTTATGGCTTACATAGCCCATTCAATGTGGGTCATGGCGCAGTTGTTCACTACTCTACAATGCTCCGGTCAGCCGTGCTTTACATCGTTCCTTAGTGAGAAGCCACGAATGCAATTAGCTCTATTCACATCCACTAACTCCAATCCCATATCAACTGAGGTGTCAACAATCTTTAGCACCAAAAACTTGGACTATATGCAACCATTTCAAAATGATTTCCAAATTGATGTTCCATTGAAAACCCGGCGAAACGGAAGTCTTTACTTACAGGTATTTTGAAACACACAGCCGTTGTTCTAGCGGCTACTTAACCCTGCCTAGAATCAGGTCGGGTCATACCGTAGGGAAAGGGGTGTTGGTTGAGTTCGGTTGAGTGGACATGCCAAGAGGGCGTTGGTGTCATATGGGGATCTCTATATGCCTGATATATATTGGCACCGACGAGGTCTAGTCTGGATAAGTAAAAGTTTAATCTACTGCAATATCCAATTGAGCCAGAGTAACGCGCGTCACACATTTAAAATTTATAGCCGCAACTCTGAGCAAGATTCGGCTGCCAAGGCGGGCGCTTCATGGAATCGATTGGGTAAGATACAACTTTAAAAGTATGTATGGAGTGCAACCAGTGATACAACTATTATTTTCCTGTAATAGATGATTTGGTGACTTCCTCTTCAATCACATGAAAAAATTTGGTTTTGGGTCAGTTTCCAGTCAATGGTTGTATGATACAACATGTCTTGATTTCATCTGCAATAGTTGGGACTTTGATATCGCGAGGAATTTTGTAATTCGTTAATAATATAGGGCATTTGCAAACATTGACTGAAACATTTAGAGTTTGCTGCGGCTCCGTCTACGGGTGGGCACGTTCACGTGTTAAATTGTACTGTGACCTTTTTTGCAGCCAAATGGGTTATTGGATATGACTTCTTACTCTTCTATAATTGAACGTAGTCTTTTAAGGAAAATCACTTCCATGATCTTGCGAAACAATGGGTAGTAAACTAAATGGTCTCTATGATTCAACTTTTTCTGCGTTTTTTTCCGGGTCTGAACATAATTATTATTGTTAAGTTAGGGGATCATATTCAGGTTTTTTTTGGGTTTAATTTTAGAATTGCTGTTTTAACTTCTTACAGCCATATTATTGACTTATCGTTATTGCTTCTTATTCAAAAGGTGTTATACGTTGGCAACTTCTCGCTCCAATCCGCCATCTTGAACTACCTTAGGAGAAACTGTGTTGTTTCTTTGCTAATTTCACTGAACATTTCCCAAAATATTAGAAAAAAATTCTAAACAAGCTACATTGATTCAATTTTCGTTGTTCGTTTTGTTCTTATTCGCTGACATTTGTTTTCTAATTGCGTGAAATTTGGTAAGTATTGTACTAAAACCGAATTATTTTACAAAAAAAATTATAATTTTGCATTTATTAGGTCATTTCCTTAGTGTTTTCCTGGCCGACCTGGTATTGTAATTAAGAGCTAATACACGTATGTCAATTCGAGTTACATATACGCGTTCCGCAAGTAAGTTTTAAAGTTGATTTGATATACGCTGATAGTTTGAACTTTGCTTGAGTTTTTCTACAAGTATCTTGTGGACCAAACCTATTATTTTGACTTCATTGATGAACCATTCCATTTGCAGCATTCTCTGGTGAACTGCAGCTGCGGCCGAATTTGATTGTGTGCATCATCCTGCAGATATTTTTAAGTAAGTTGGAACCAGCTCTTTGTTATTTCAAAACCTAATGAACCATTTATTCGCAGATTTTGTGGACGCTTCTGCTGTGCTGCGTTCCTGCTCCGCCTGTGTATTGCTCCGCCCGTGTTTTGTAGTGTTGCGTCCCTGTTGCGCCTTTGCATTAGTGTGTGCGTTGTGCTTTAGACAGGTTGAAGTAAGTTGAAACCAGGTTTTTGTTTGTTAAAAACCTAAAAAGCCATTTATTTGCAAATTGTTTGTATGCTTCTGCTGTGCTGCGTTCCTGCTTCACCCGTGTATTAGATTGCTGCCCTCCTGTTAATATACACACCGTCGTTTAAAGTACAAAACCGCGTAACTGACATTTGCTGCTAAAAATTGGCAACCTCGCATACGTGGGTTTTCATTATCTTGATACGCGGTTTTGCATTTTATTGATACACGGTTTTGTACTTTAAACGACGATATGTAGATGTATGTACATACATATATATCACATATATTGACTTAGATATTTATAGACAATGAATGATGTGTACATAATTTTTTTATGTTGAAACTGGATATGTATATAGTATGTTATTAATATTATTCAGTTCAAAAAAAGTCCTATCTCAAATGAAAATACTTTGAAAATGTGCTGAGATAGGGCGTTTTTGGATCGCCAGCTGAGATAGGTGGTTTTAACCGAGTTTTGAGATAGGGCATATTTCAATCAAATTCTAAAATAGGGCGTTTTCCAGCCAAATTTTGAAATGGGGCGTTGAAAAGTTTACTGATATCGAGCGTATCGACCTGGCTGCCGAGATAGGTCGATATTCCACTCAGCCATCGATATATAGTCGCATTTTTCGGTATATGAAAGACGATTAAACACGATTTGTTTTTATATCGATTCTAAAAAATCAACGGTAATTTTTTAGCCACTTCAAACTTGTATATAATAAGACTAAAATTGAAGGGGCTATAAAACTGAGTGCTCAAAAAAATTGTAACACTTCTGAGAAAAAAGTGTGAATTTTGGGTGAAAATTTGTTGTATTTTTTGTAGTTTTCTACGAAGTTTTAAAATTGGGTTTATATGGGTTTTGTTAGAAATTGAACTTTATTTTTATTGCAAATTCTTAGAAATAAATTAACATGAGAGGGAAATAATATCACTTTGAAATGGGGTTTCTATTGATATGACCGATACTGTATGTATATAATAAATTTTGTACAATTAAAAATCAAAGTGGATTTACTAAAATGAACACCACGTATTAATTATAACTTCTGAAATATATTGTTAATTTCAAAAACAAATAAATAAAACATCAAAAAGCTTGCTGTATGATTCGAACTTGGATGTAACGTATAATTGTTTATATGATTCCTCAAAGTATCCCTTATATAACACTGTGGAACACAAAAAAACCTTAGTGCGAATATATCAGGTTTGATAGCTGTTGGCCATACCAATAATGCCTCATACTCAGATTTACTAGATCAATTCGTGTTCTCCGAGAAAAAAAAATTTTCACGATTCAAAAATCTGAAAAATCTTTTTTCTCCAAATTTTGAACATTTATCGTTTTTGGCCTATATTTTGTGGCAAATTCCATACAAAGCAAATATAACTAGGCCAAAAAAACGAAGAATATTCAAAATTTTGAGAAAAGAATTTGGCCGCTATACTCAGATGCGCTGATCTTCGCTGGTTATCGAAGATCGAAAGTGAAATTCGTATTATGAGCTAAGCAACCGTGTCGAAATTTTCGTTGAGTATCGAATTTACTGTCAAACAGAATTTTGCTTTCGATGGTGTAGCGAAGTGTTAGAAAATTGTGAAAAATGTATGATTTTGCATTTGTTTTCTTACTTTTTGGCGGGTAGACACTAATTTAAACAATTTTTATCAATTTCATGCAGTTTTAACGTCGTGAATACAAAACACAAGCTCGAAAGGCTGCTTTTACTCGTGAAAGAAAAACCCAATACTCAATTGGCACGATCTCTGAGAACAAATCATGGAACTGTGGATAGTTTTGAAATATTTTAAAAAGATTTGGATCACAAACGCCTTTTTAGAAAGTCGGAAGTTTTTAGTAAATCTGTTGACAAATTTCTTGAATATATTTTGTGTAAAAATATATTGTAAATACTACACTTAAACTCTCTTAAACATTTACTACTCCTGGCCAGTTCACTAAACTCTCATCCTCTGAAGAATCGTTGAACCCCAGAACTTCGTTGTACTAATTTTTACCACGTTTTTATAAACTTGCTTTCTTTTTTATGTCATTTTAATTTGCATAAATTTACATAAATATGTATAAGCACACTATTTACTATACTGTTCTGGCTGGGTATTCATCAGCTCAAAAATTTTAAGCATATTATCATATTCCTATGAATAAAAACACGCCTAATTTTATTATTTTAGTTATCTAAAACTTTATGAGACTACCAAGCCATATATATACCTATTCAGATAATCGGAACGCTGTTGAGAAGGCATACATTTTGGTACTTTTTCAACTAAAAGGCTTTTTTTCTTTCCGTTTTTCTTGTACTTACAAAATACAATATTGACCTAAGGTAGTTCGATTTCGAGCTGTCACAACGTACAACACCTTTATTGCATCATGGTCAAGCATACTTTGTGTGGAAGAAATGCAAAAAATGGCGCGCTATTTAAATGACGAGGAATGTATATATGTACATATGTATAAGCAATAATATGTAGGTAAATTTTTTGAAAAATTGTCCTGCATTTTCAAAACATATTTGTGGTCACCGTACTCATACGAAATGTACGAGTATCCAAGCGTTTGAACAAACGTAAGGGAAGAAGATAACAATTGATTACGCGATGAGGATTAGTCGAGCGTAGTAATTACCTCTGCAAATATGTAGATAATTTCTTCCGCTACAATGTGGTATTTTTATGATTTTGATAAATCGTCGCCTGGGTAAAACATTGTCGTAAGCGCCATTTTGACGATTTTTAGTTCTAGCTGCAGTTGTATATTTTGAAATAAGGTATTTCGATTGGTGTTTTTTCAGATATTGACTACAACTTTTTTCGATAATTTAGTAAAAATTTAGTTGGTGATGCAGTCATATCAAACTAATCAATATCTTAAAAATGGCGTTCTCCATTTTTGGATATCTCCTTTAGTTTCCGAGATATTGAGTAAAAAGCGTCGTTAATTTGGTAGAAATGTTGATCACATTTTGTCGTATTTCATACAAAGTGGCTGCCAAATTGTGGACAAATAACGCTTACGACAAAATTTTACTAAATAAAATCCTTCATAAACTCAAAACTAATTAACAATAAACGTTAAAAATTAAATAATTTAAGAATTTTATGAACTAGTAACATTTTCAGAGACTTTGGAGAAAATATATCTTCGCGTTTTTGAGAAATTGCATTCCAAACTTCAATCGCTATTTCCCACAACCTGCCGAAATTAACATACGACAATCTTTTACCCAGGCGACGAAATGCATTTGATTTGACTTATCTGAGATGAATTGGACAAAATTTGTCAGAATTTTATTAATTTAAAAATT